GGGGCTGTGCGCGGAGAGCTGCGGTCCCAGGCTAGAAGGACTGCGGAGGTCTGCCAGGTACCCGCAGGGACAGCTCGGGGCCTGCCAAGTCCTCGGCACTTGCGTTCCTTGACTGCTTCACTGACACAGAAAACATCTGAAACGCCATTGCCTAGAAAAACTCCTTTGGCTGCATTAACTAGAAGAGCTAGTTAAGAGAATGAAACCCCCAAATGGGTTAGCTAAGCAGCAAGCTCTTAGTTAAGGATACAGACTTTTTATTTTACTGTTTTCCAGCTTGAGTCTCATCTGAATCCAACTATTTTTTAGATGAAATCTTCAAATAAAACTGAGTGCTCTTTGTTCGTGTTCTCTCTCTCTCAAGCTATTGTTGAAGCAGTAAGTGAAAGAGGGAATTACAGCATGGGAACATTAGACTCGCCTGTCGCCCGCCATAAGGACAGTAATTCTGTCACTTACCTCATTTCCCATAACAACGGATGTTATTGGCTTAGGGAATGTGTGAACACTCAGCTAAATCCTGAAGACCTTTGCATGCACACATATACGTATGTATATTCCTATATGTTAGTCACTCTTTACTTAGGCAAACTTCTGTTGTACTCATCGTGAGTTTGCTTCAGTAAGAAACTTGGGATTTGCCTCTTTATAGCACTACGAAATGAGCTCTCAGGGAAGCTCCTCCTGAAACCCTGATTTTCTGCTATCGTACAACTGCCCCGTCTGGCAGAGCCCGGTCCCTCGGCCTGATGGTGTTCAGCCCAGCCCAGGGCTGCCTGGGGTTTATGAGCCCAGCCGGGGTTCGCTCGCTCTAGCTGTACTTTGCAATTTGCCTAGTAGCGTGCTGGAAATTTTCAAGCCAACTTTTATTCACTACGTACCAATGGTTAGGACACAGGTTGCTTTCCAGCCTGCCTATCAGCTGGAAAGAAAGATCTAACGTATACCTATTACCTTCCCACAGAGTGAGGATGCTAAACATTTGCACACCCTGTGCCTCAGTCAAGGAGATCAAGATACAGTCACAACCACTCCTCCTAGTCCCTATGTGCCACATATGTACTTCTATAAAACCTGAACCATCCCGTGATCTTTATAGGGAGATCTGACTAAACCAGACCCTTCACTGGGAAGAGAAATCCCAACCACCTGCCTGCGCGTGAGAGAAGTGACAGCTGAGATTGTGAAGGGCCCAAGTGTGGCTTGGAGAGTGCAACCATCTTCCTAACAAGATGTGTTTGCAGATGAAGCCAGCGCATACGGATCTGCCGCAAACCATGGGGAAGACTACAAGGTGCTGAGCAACGTCAGCAAAATTCCCTGGCTCACAAGCTCGGGATATAACACCAATATAAACACTCAGGGTGAGCTTCACAGCTGGGGTCTGCCAGGGAGGCTCCCCCGATTCCCACAGCCAACTTCTTCCGAGATAGGAGCCTCTCATCCCTGGCATCAACACATCACCCCCCACCCCCCCCCAGTTAAATCCCTGTCACAAATCTTCAGCATCCAAGTTTGCCACAAATACAAGCCCTAGACCAAGTCAAATGGGAACTCGGTAATTAAACGTCTGCTGTGCAAGTCAGAGGCTCCTGAACATGTGGCAAAGCAGAGAGATTTCCACTCAAATAGTATTTTATTACTAATCTGGTAATATTTAACTTAGACTTACGTCTGATGGACAAATTCGGAGTCACTTCACTGTGGCACTGCCATTTCCAAAGGCTCTACATGTCACAGTAACAGGGTCCTTGAAATGTGTTTGTGTAGATTTAAGCACGCAAACCCTGAAACTACCACAAAGGGAATAAACACATGGCAAGTGAAGCCCCCAGCGAAGCAGGAGAGCAATAACAGAAGCAGCCTACCTACCTAAAGGCCAGTGAAAACGGCCTCGGATTTTCTGTTACCTCACTATACGCTGGAGTGCATAAACTAGCTGGAAAGGCGCATTATTAGCGTTAAGGGTTCTTTTTGGAGCAGACTCACAATTGTACTGTTTTTATCATCTTTAAGGGCTGGATGTGGCGAGCAGGGATAGCCAGCTCCTTCACAACTGCCTGCACTAATGCTTCCTAAAAAGCAGTTCCTGTGAGTCCTCGTACGAAAAGGGGAAAATACTGGATGACAAAACCCATTGCTATTAGTTAAGCCTTTAATTTGGCAGCTGCAGCACCCATGCAGGCTGCCCCATGGGTGCCCAGTTAGCAGAGCCCATTAGGAGCTGGCGCTCTGCATCCTCATCCCGGTTCTGCCGTGACTTTGCTCTGTAGCCTTGGGCAAATTTACTCCTGTGTGTTCCTTACTCCTGTGTCGTTTTCTACTCACCTGCAAAATATGCCAAGTTTCATCTGACTGACCTATCAAGAGGCCTAATTACTGGCAAACCTTTTGGAGAGTCTTCAGTACAAGGATAGTCCAAACTGAATTACACTTAAAACAAACATGAAATCATTATCCTAGAGAATATGGTAAACTAAAAAATAACTGTATTTGTATTAGAGCTAATGGACTATAAGGGTCAAATTTGCTCTTGCTCATAACCACAGAAAGACTCCAGAGGTGTCGGTGTAGTCTATAGCTATACCGAAATCACAGCATGGAATATAGCCCCATTCTCAACTCGCTAACTGTGCTCTGTGTGTGTTTACTGCAGCAGAAGCTTCAATATTTGACTAAACCCTTACTGCTACTTTTGGCAGAAACGCTAAAAGTCTACATTGTTTGAGAGCACAGACACTTTGGCAACGCAATCACTACATTTTGACACGTTCAATAGAAAAGGGAATTTTTATAATCAGGATCAAACTCCATGGGGAAAAAAAAAAAGAAAAAGCCCCCCAAATGTAAATATTTGACATAATGGGAATTCCTAGGGATTTTGTCTTACTTAACTGTACACAGGACTCCAAGCTGGATGCATCCTCAAACCAAAAGCTATTGGCTTGTGTCCAAATTTTGTGGCTGCCTTTCTCTCTCAAACACTCCAGCCCAGCCCCACCAGATCCAAACATCCTTTCAAGCTTGAAAAGTTCAGTTCCAGACCTAAAATCTGTAGTTAGGGCACATCTCTATTCCAAGAGCAGCTTAGAGTGGCTGTCACTCATACGTCACTCTCTCACTCAGCCCCTGGTGAAGCACATCAGAGCAGCTCCACTCTCCATCTTGAGAGAGACACAAATTAACTGCTTTATAGAGTTCTTGGGCTGGAGGAAGGAATTATTCACAATTCATCTTCAAAACAAAAATACTCATTCATAGGAAAATCTAAAAAAAATGCCCATCCGTGATCTCTTCCACTCATTCGTTATCCCGTCTGTCTGTATCGATTAACCACAAGCGTTTCCAGAGAGCTCCTCGGTACAGCAGCTAGACAAAACGGTATCTTTTGCCAGCTTTCCGGTGCGTGCTGCATCCAAAGTACTGGCCCAAAGTCTCCGAGCAATGGGGCTGCACAAGCACTCAGGCAATCAGGAATGCCAGCAACCGGGAACGGCAACTGATCACTGGCATCAGCAGAAACTGGATCAAGCCTTGAGACAACAGCAGTAGCAAATACTGACCAACTATTCCATACACTTACTTGTATAAGCGACTTTCAGAAAAATCAGACCCACAGCATCAAATGATAGAAAGGCAGAACTGGAAATTCTTCACAAAGTAAATTGTTGGTAAAATTAAGACGAAAGCTTCCTAGGCAATGGCCAAGCCTGAACATGACAGCCTGCCAGTGGGGTTGTGCTACATAACTGCTGCATGCTCCAGATTCAGACCCACTTCTCACTTTTAAAGGAAAAAAATACCAACCAGGAGAGAAATACTGTAATATGCCTCGTTGGAAACAAATCTTGTTTGTGTTCCTCCAAGCGGATTGACTTTGGAAAAAAGCAAAGTTGAGTCATACATCTGTTTCTTTATAAATGGAGGAGAAAATGCATACATTACAGTTTGCACCAAATTAGTTACTGTAGATCAACTCTTCTCCAGAGCTAGACTGCTTAATCTGTTACATGTTATTGCCTCCTATGGCCAGAATTTATTATTCCCATTTATAATTCTAATGTTTCAGTTA